TCAGCCTCTTTCCCAACTGGGATCAGGAGAACTGAATTGCAAGGCCCTCTTCTTACAGCCCTCTTCCACCCTGTGGACTATATGCCTGTAAGACTCAGGCTTCTGACCATCCTACTTAGAGAGGGAGAGGGGGGGGGAGAGTAAAAGCCTCCCCCCCACTTTATACCTGACTTATAGATCCCGGGTCATGATAATGGAAGGAAAAGGATCAAGCCAGGAGTTTGGGGCCTTGGCCTCCCAAGAGAGAAGAGGGGGGCTATCCCACGTGCGTCCTTCTACGCTTAGCCATGGGGTGCCTTTCCCTTCCATTCATCGGGGCTGGTGGGGCCATCCAGAGCAGGAAGGGGGAGGAGGGAGTTTCCTCTTCTTCCCAAACCTGACTGCAGGCATCCAAAATGAGAGAAACTAGCTGAAAGTAGCCCCCGTCCTGGAGAAATGTGTTTAGGAAACGAGGTAAGGGATGTTTTATGGGAGGCCGCCCAGCCACTGAACCCCTCCTCCTCCTCCTCCTCCTTTTCATGGCCTGGCAGAGGAGAGAGATCAGCAACTTTGAGTACCTCACGTACCTGAATTCTCTGGCGGGACGGACCCACAGCGACCTCATGCAGTACCCGGTGTTCCCGTGGGTCCTTGCAGACTACCAGTCCCAGGTGAGCCGTTTCTCTGCGGGGCTGAACTGGAGCTTTCCTGGAAGAGGAAGTTTGATAGGATGGGAGGGAAGTCCGTAGAAAGTGGGTCAGGTCAGCCGCTGGGATTCTTGGCCCAGGTGCTGGCTCACTCGAGGGATGCGCCCTTTGTCTTCCAGACTCTGGACCTGACCAATCCAGGCACCTTCCGCGACCTCTCCAAGCCCATGGGGGCACAGACGGAGGGCAGGAAAGAGAAATTCATCCAGCGCTTCAAAGAAGTGGAGAAGACCGAAGGTACCGATCTCATTATCAGTATGGTGTACCCCAAATCCCCCCCCCCCCGGGCTAAGTCTTTTTGGCAAGAAAGTCTAGAACAAAAGTGGAAGCGGCACGAAGGTCGTCCTCACAAGACCAAGGGGAGAATTCGGGGCTGGGTCGAATGGGGGTGGGGGGGGGACGCCTGAGCAAGCAAAGCCCACTAGAGCTGACCTGTCCAGCACCTCCCCGAGTCCTCCTGTAGCCCTGATCAGGGGCCTGCTTTGCTTGAAGGTGGGCGTGAAAAGTTGCTTGATAAGACATGTTGTTACACATTTCAGGGATTGTTTGATTTTGAAAAAATCAAAACAAATTGACTTATCCAGAAATGCAGTCCATAAACGGCGGATTTTTCCTGTTTGTAGGTAACCTCTCAGCTCAGAGTCACTACTTCACCCATTACTCCTCCGCCATGATTGTGGCTTCCTACCTGGTCCGCCTGGAGCCCTTCACGGAAACCTTCCGATCTTTGCAGGTGGGCTGAACCTGGGTGGGGCCTACCAAAGATGGGTGACAGCAGCCTTGGCGAAGGCTCTGGTCAGATCGGGAGCTTTTGAGCTGTGCGGGGCCCTCCCTCGGGACTCCGCCCGGAACCGTTTCCGGCAGTGAATGGAGCAAACCTAAAGAAATCTGGGAGTCTTGTGGAAGAGTTACGCCCGAGGGTTGCCTAGTAAGTCAGTGGAGAACCCAGGAGCACAGCAAGAGAGGGATTCCTGCAACAGTTATTCAGTCTTCACCATTAACCCTTAATTTCTCTGTCCCCCTCCCACTGTTGCCTACCAGGGAAAATACTGCACAAAACGTAAAACAGCCTATAATGTCCCTTGAAGCAACTGAACAGGGATTAGATTTAAATTCAGCTTCCGTGCAGTTCAGGAGTTTGAAAAAGGTCAGTCTGGGCTCTTTCAAAAGACGCCCATCCTTTGGGAAACGCAGGAGGCTCTGTGGGAGCCACGGACCCAATTTTCATTGCTGAAATAACCATGGAGCAGAAGGAGTGGCCAGGGGTGTGGGGGGGGGAGGTTGGTGTGGAAATGTTCCTGCAGCTTCCTAAAGTGCTTGGCAGGAACTGGGCAGCCCCCCCCCCCATCCCTCACCACGTCATCAAGCAGATCATGGCATCGGGAAAGGGAATCAAAAGGCAAAGAACTACGGACAATTTGCGAAGGAAGCTTAGCTGCTTCAGCAACAGGGGGGGAGGGATGAGGAGGGGCCATCATGAGGGTCAGCCCAGCAGAAACAAAGGACCCGGGACCCTTCGTCCCTTACGGGGGGGGGTGAGGAGAGCCGAGGCCCCCCCCCCTTTGATCGGGGCCTCTGAAGGAGCCAAGGTGAGGGTGAGGCAAACCCTTGCGCCAATTTCAATTGATAATCGTTACTGGCGTGGTTCTCTGGCTGCCTTTCATTTCTGTACAGTTAAGAGGGTTAAAAAGGTTTAAAAGCGTAAATGCTTTTAAAACTAAATAAATAAAAGGGATAGTTCACTCCAGCACTGTAAATGCAAAAAAAGAATCTTTGGAAAAAACCCAGGGAGGTTTAAACTAATAGCAGAAATATGAAAGTATTTTATGAATGAGGCGCTCCTGCTGAATAGACTTCCCTACACTCCAAGCGTGGAGCCGGAGCCCATCGGAGGAGCCCACGGGGTGCAGGCAGAGGCAGAAGGCAGGACGGAAGGCCTGAAAGGAACGGGCGACCTTCAGCTGCAGATCCCTCCGAGTCATAGAGACAGACTTGACTCACAAAGGGACATTATACAATAGCATCAGCTACAGAAAAAGCCTTCGGTTCCTATTATTGTTATAGAAAAAAGTAGAAACAAATCTTTTAAAACATTAAAAAACCATGACAGGCAGAAAGGAAACAGAAAGGGATTGCAGGCGAGGTGGGAGTGGCAGGTGAAGCCAACAGGAAGGTTGTTCCTGCGTTGTGGCTGGAGAATATTCTGGGCTTCATCATAATCCACAGTGAAGGGCTGAATCCCTGGAAGGAGCTTCGTCCAGCTGTGCTCATGGAAACAGGCCAGGCTTCCCCTTTAGCGAGCAGTCGGGCCCTCGGCCTGCTCCGGGCTCTGCAGGTTCGGAGAAGACCTGGAGCTCCCAGGCGGTGCACCCAGGGCCCCAGAGAGGGGCTGGGGGAGGGGGTTGTTCCCGCTAAAAGCCTTGCTAGCCGCCCCCCCCCACCCCCCCTCCTTTCCTTTCCGAGAGAAAGAAAGCTCACTAATTCCAATACAAATGTATGCAAATACAGTTATTAATATAAGAAATACTGCAAATCAGTTATTGCTTTCTTTATAAATAATACAGTTTTAGAGATATTACTTTCTCCAAAATGCATTAGACAGCTGCAAAAAATTACATTTTTCTGGATGGTAATATCTTTAACCAGATTTGAGGCGCTAACAACATTTTCTATGTAGATATTATTTTTATTTAATACAGATAACCTTTTTATTACCAATCACATTGTCTCTCTAGAGATTGTCATCAGCTCTCATAAAAACGGGAAAAGCAGATGAAAACGTGTCAGTCTCATATTCTGGCCGCAATGTCGTATATATGCAGATCAAAGCCAGAGGGCTCCGGGGGGCTTCCGGAGGGAGGGAGGGAGGGAGGGAGACTCGTTAGCTGGCGCTTTCTGCAGAGTTGACTTGTCTTTGGAGTTGCTGCAGTTTTGGCTGGAAAGTGGCCCCGGGATGATCCCACCAACAATGACTTTGCAACACCCCCCCCCCCCCGCTGGCGTGCTCACCGTGCCTGGCCCTTGCACAACCCCACAAGGCGGAGCAGAGAGTAGTGCAGCCAGGGAGAAGGGGGCTGGTCCTTACTTTGGGGGATAACTCCCCCTGCGGCTTTCCAGAGAGCGCACTGGGGACGTGATTTGCTTCACTTTGGAGGGAGCACCGTTAATGCGCTGATGAGACTGTAAGTTCCCAGAAATCCTTAAGCGAACGGCAGCCGGTGCAACAACCTTCTGCCTGAACAAAGTTAAAGGTGGCCCAGCTCTGCAAATTGGGAAGCCCCCCCCCCCCCCCCTCCCTCCCTCCCTCCCTGCAATTGTTTACAGATTGCAAATAATGAAACAATAAATATGGAAGGTGGGACAATCTGAACCAGCTTCCAGTCAATCCTTGGTATCCTCCTCCTGGGGAAAAAGGGCAGCGTGTAAATGTTTCCTCTGCCCAGCCAAGATTCCTCCTTGCCAAACTTTTCTCCTCTTGAAATGTTACTGCAACCAGCTCCCTCTGCCTGTTCCGGTGCCGCTTTGAGGTCCGGGGATTTTGAAATCCACTCTGCAGCCCCTTCCCTTCCTTTCCTGGAAAGCATTTCCTGCTTCAGGAGTTCTTGAAACATCCAGACTCTTTTCGGCTTCAGTTTCTGGGCTGAGGAAATATTAGCTTTCAGGTTATGTTGAAACTTAGGGAAGCCACACTGGCTTCCACCTGTGCAATATTTTCTGTGCACTTTAGCACGGCCACACGCTCTCCGGAAGCACAACAGAAATGCCGTCACGATTAATGGCTAGCAAGGAGTTCGTTTCTCAGGCGCTTCACTCCGTGTCCTCCAAAGGTGCCTTGCATGGCGATTTCCAAACCTTCCAGAACATTTTCAAAGCGCTTTGTCATAATCACAGCTTGCCATTCTGGTGGATGCTGATTCCCTTTAGGCTGTGGCCTGAGGCTCTGGCTGGTGGCATGGCTTCACTCCTCCTCCTCCTCCTCCTCCTCCTCCACAGGGAGGGGCCCTGGACGTCGCAGACCGCATGTTCCACAGCGTGAGGAGCACCTGGGAGTCGGCCTCAAGAGACAACATGACGGATGTCCGGGAGCTGATACCTGAATTCTTTTATCTCCCTGAATTTTTAACAAACCACAACCACATTGACTTTGGTGAGTGGGCGAACGCTGGGCTGGGTTTCCTTTCAGGAAGAACCATGGCTTCTCCACAGCCTCAGAGTGATGATGGGGATGGATTTACCCGTTGAGTGAAAGAATCAAAATTAAAGCATTCCAGGGCAGAGATGGGTTGCCAATTTTTCTACTACCGGTTCAGTGTTGTTCCCGTGCGTGGCACTTCTGCTCCTGCAGAGAAGCGTCTGGGTGGGTGCGCAGAGCCTCCCGGTGCCGCTACTACCGGTTCCCCCGATCTGAGCCAAACTGGGAGCAAACCACCTCTGTTCTAGGTGAACCTGTGCTCAACCATGCAAATGATGTTGGTATTTTGAGCTGGCTGGATGTCCCATTAAAACGACTCCTTTTTTATCTTTATGAGAAAGGGGCTCCTGCCTCAACACCCCTTTCTTCTAAACCCCCCCCCCCCCGGGAGGTCTTTCCCCCATGACTAAATCTGGTTCTCCTCATCGAGAGATTCTGCCTAGAGAAAAACTGGGGAGGTCACAGTGGTTCCCAACTCAGCAGCTGAACCCACTTGAAGCCCGGATGTTTTGGACCTGGGATGGTCACCAAGGACCTTGGCCCACCACTGTTGCCTTCCAGATGTTTTATTTGTTGCCAGCAGCTTCTCCCACCAAATCCCAGCTGTGCTCTGATGAGGGCTTCGTAAGCTTAATCTATACACCCTTACTTCTATTTGATCTCGGGCGGAGGAAAGCTTCTCTGTGTCAGTTCTCTTCCCTTCTTCCGTCCCTTGCAGGGTGCTTGCAGGATGGGACGCGGCTGAATGACGTGGATTTGCCACCTTGGGCAGGAGGAAATCCTCACCGGTTCATTCGGCTGCACAGGCAGGTCTGTATGAAAAGGCCGTTTGGAAGGCTGCCAGTGCTGGGCCCAGGACCACACTAATAGTCTCAAAATGTTTCTCTTAGTCTAAAATAAAGATAAGGAGAAATCTCTGAAAAGAAATAGCCGTGATTCAGAGCCTTTATTGCAGCAGAAATTACACACACAAGTCCATTGGGGATTCCCAGGCCTGTAGATTTCCTGGAGGGCCCCCGCCTAGCCCCACCCTCACCCCCCTGGCCCCACCCCCACCCCCTTGCCAGAAGGGACAGGGTGCCTCCCCGCCCCCGGGCGACCGAATGGCTTCGCTTGGGTTTCAGGCCCTGGAGAGCGACTTTGTCAGCAGCCGCCTCCACCACTGGATCGACCTCATCTTCGGCTCCAAGCAGCAGGGCCCGGCCGCCGTGAAGGCCGTGAACACCTTCCACCCCTACTTCTACAGCCACCAGGCCCAAATGGGCAGCATTGAGGACCCTCTCGTCAAGAGCACCGTCCTGGGGTTCGTCAGCAATTTCGGACAGATGCCAAAGCAGGTAGGAGGCAACCAATGGCCCAGGTGCCCTCAAGCCACCATGGAGGGCGTAGAGTTAGCTAGGAACGGGGTTGCTTTGATCTCACGTTGAGGCGCGTTGCTGTTAAGGGATTTCTTGGGAAAGTGACCCGGTTGCCAAAAGAAAGTTGGGTTGAGAAAGTTTGTTTCCTCTGAAGCAACATGGAACCTCTCCTTATTACTCTCATATTAATTCATCCAACGATGGTTGGAGGACTCTAGAAGAGGATCCCATCTCTGTGCTAACTTTTCTGATAACCTCTGTAACACCATTTTAATAGGTTTTGTTTTGTTTCAATAATTTGGAAATCATAGATCAGCTTTTCTTCACCTAATCAGCAATCAAGGTTATTAAGTGCTATTGCTTAATTGCTTAGCTCACTCTTTGAATCTTTTCTCCTGCCAAGTTCATGAAGGGCTTTCCGTGTGAATGTTTCCATCTCGCTCTCTAAATCTCTCTACCTAAGGAGGAGGAGGAGGAGGAATCCCCGTGGGGAGAAATCTCCGGGCATGGAGGGTGGGCAGAGCAAGAGGGGTCATGGAAGCAGGCAGGAATCTCCTTCCTCGCACAACGATGAACCCTCCAGCAAATACCTCTACCGTCCCTCAACAACAGGACACAAATAAACGTTACGACATCAATACATGTAATGGGTTCGAGTGTTCCGTCAAGTTCCTACCGCAAGCCGAAGCCCTGACTGTGTACCCAGATGTAGAGGAGGGGGAAGAAGCGGCTTTCAAGGGAGAAACGGGGGCTTTGGCTGACTCCCCAGTCTCCAAGGAGTCCTTCAGGGCCCAAAGTCCTTCCCTCGGGTCTCATCCGGCCACCTGGGCGGCTTCTGTGGAGAACGCTTGGCAGTTGTGGGTTTCAGAAACGGCCTCCTACGCAGAGGGAGTTTCTCTTGCGGTGAAATCCTCTGCGCCGCTTCTCGGAAGCTCCCTGGCCCTGAAGAGCCCCTGCTCTCCCTCAGGGACCCCTTAAGGGGGGGATCTGGCTGAGAACTAAGGCCGTCTGTGGAGACGAAGGGAACTCCTTCGGTCCTGGGGAGCGGAAGGGGCTTCATCCTTCTAGCCTGTGTTACCATTAAAGACCGATTCGTTCTGGATAACGTTGGCAAGGAGGATGGCTGACGACCCAGAAAGCCAAGAATACATTAACAGCCCCCAAGCCGTTAGCCCCAAATTATCTGCCGAGGAGTCAGTTCTCTCTCCTTTGCCCTCTAAAGCCCTGGCATCAGGAGCATTTTGCTTTGGCCAAAGGCAAAGGCAGAGCTGCTGAGTGCCAGTGCATGGCGCTCCCCCCACCCTCCCCCCACCGAAGCTCAGCCGAGCAGAAGTAAAGGTGGTGGGGAAGCAGCTGGGGGGAGGGGGGGGGTCCATGCCAGGCTATTCTCAGGCCAAATCCTGAGTCCTTCTCTGCTCTGTGCTTGACCAGCACCTGCTGGGGCTCTTTCTGTCCTTTAATTGTCCTCTTGAGCCCTGCCATGGCTCTCCTCCTCACTGGCCTCTCGGAAGGAAAGCAAGGATCCCCCCCACCCACCCCCTGTTCTCATCAGCAATGGAAGCTTGGTGGTCCGTGTGTCGCCCCCGTCTGCCCAGTGACACAATATAATTTTACCTTTTTAGGCATTTAGAGTCATTTTTTTCAGAGGGTTTTGGTTGCTACCGTAACTTCTTTGCATGGAGAAGTAAAAGGTAATTTGTAAGAAAACAAATATTTTAAAAACATGCCGTGGAGCTCCTGGTGCCTGTGTAAATGTGACGTTACAGGATTCATTGATTTGCTGTAATTTGTTTCTTTACGCTTCTTTTCCATCCTCAGCTTTTTACCAAACCACATCCCTCCAGAAATGCTGCCAGCCTGAGGAAACCCTCACTGGGGAAGAGCAGCTTCCTCTTGGCTTCTCCGGCGCTCTCGGTCAGTCACCTGCGTCACCTGAAACAGTCCTCCGTCGTCATTCCCAGAGGTATGGGCTGGCCAAAGAGTGCAGAGAGGACACCGCGAGGCCTCGTCCGGGACCCCCTTCTAAGCCTTGGCAACTCTAAGAGGGGAAGTGGGGGAGAAAGAGAATTCAGAGACCTTGGGTGGGGAACAAATTCAAGTAGCAAATATCCCCCCCCCTCTTTGAAAGGTCTTCTGGAGTTGTTTTCTTTCCCTCCTGCAGAGGCCCCACAAGGGCCTGTGGGTCACATCGTGTGTACAGAAAAGGGGATTTTGGCTGTGGAGAAGAAAAGTATTTTGCTTCCTCCACTATGGAATCAAACCTTTTGCTGGGGATTCAGTGACTTCACCTGCTGCCTGGCTGATGCTGCATCCGAGAAGGTAATCATGAAGGACAGATTGTCACCTGTTGGGCCATCCAGCGATGGATGGGCAGATCCCTCCGTGGGTGCATTTCACCCTTTGCCCGTGTTCCCTTTCCTCTTTGGCCAGAGGGAGCAGGCCTTCTGTTCCCCCCCCCCACACACACAGAGGGAAAGGTCTGGAGAACTTAGCAAATGCACCAAAGGGTCTTGAACAAAATCATCAATGTCTGCACCTTATATTGGACAGAAAGACAAGACATAATTAAAAGTAATAACAACTTCAATCTGGGTCTCCTTATACTTGAATATACTATATATTATATATATATATATAGGAAAGCCCGTCGTTTACTTTCTGCAGCATCCTTTCTCCTCGTGTGCAAGACAAAGATGAACAATGTAGTTGGCATTTTAAAAAAGTTACAGCCGCCCTTTGAGGGGTGGGATTGTGTGGGACGAAGGGCAGAGCAAGCTTTTCTCCTTTTCTCCTTGGCTTCTCCTGCCAGAGAGTCCTGTCTGTCTCTCTCCTGACTATATTCACATCTACATAATAAAAATATGTATTTGACCCCATTCGGTTTGAGCTTCCCATAAAATTTTGGGGTGCCGCACTCTCTCTCCACCCATCTTATTTCTTCTCCCCCTTCCTGAACCAGATCTTGGATGATAGGAAAGGCCGTTGCTGATCATTCTCCGACTTCTTTGCCCTCTGAAATGTAACATTAGAGGAAGTGAGAAACTTCCTGAAAGGACGTTTGTTAGAATTTGTCAGATGTCACAGTAATTAAAGTTTCCAGTGAGCTTTGTTTCACACTTCTTTGAAAGACCTGCTGTTTCCCTTTGGAAGGATTCGGCAGCATCGCCTTTATTTGCGCCTCCACTTGTTTCAACCTGAAAGAGGGGGGGGGTCTCTGCCTGTCTCTGCCCCCCCCCCAGCGCCCTCCCCTCCTCCCGTTGGCTCCTTCCGAGCGAGGCTCCAGGGGCTCCGGGGAGACAGGACTGGCTTTGCCTTGCAAGCTACTCCCGCCCACCAGAGCCCAGGGAGGGGGCCAGTCGGGGAGGGGGACCGGCCACTGTGGGGGGGGGTCCTCCTGTGGGCCAGGGGCCAGGAGAGCAGGAAGCCACCCTGGCTGCCTGAAAAGAGAAACGATGGCGTGAAATGCTGAGATGAAGACAAGTTACAATAAGTGAAAAAATCTCCTCCTCTCTTTCAGCAGAGTGGAGCAGGTGGGATGGGTGCATTTTCCAGGTTAATAAGCAACATGAAACATTCTGAGTATATTTTGAAAGGAATATATATACTCATTATTATGAATTCCCTAGTATTTTGATATTATAAATTGATTGTTAGTCTTTCTCTAGTGTTTGTGACTTGGACAAAGAACCCGGCATCAGTGGAGTCTGCAGGAGGAAAGGCACAGACTTTATATTCAAAAACAATTGATAGACCGCATTTTACAGAAAGACTGGCAAAAAAATCCCAGTATTAAACTGTCTTTTCAGAATTCGTATTTGCTTTTCAACTTTTTGTATTACTTTTTTTAAAGCCTATTTTATTAAAACACACAAAAGTGTGTTTTAACTCTTAAACCCTTAGCTCAATTAAAATTCCACATAAGTGTGTATACGTGTATGCGTGCATGTAAGTGTTGTATCCATCATCTCACTCCGCCTCTCCCCTTGCCTTCCCCTCCGCTTCCCTCCTGCCTTGGGTGCTCCGTGGTCCCCGCAGAAGATCACCGTCCTGGAGGCTCCGGCTGAGTGGGGCGACTGCCTCTGCGCTGTGTCTCCCACACCCAGCAGGCTCATCACATCTGGAAGCAGCTGCGTTGTCTGTGTCTGGGACCTCTGCAGGACCCCAGCGGGAGCCACGGCCTTACGCCTGAAACAGGTGGGTCGCCCCAATTCCTCTTCTGAAATCGAAGGGCGCTGCTGGGGCAACAATTTGGGGCAACACCTGCAGAAGGTTAGCAGGAATCAGAGGTCGACTTCTTTCCCCTCCGAGTCCTCTGAATTTCTCTTTCTCATCCCCACCCCCACCCCCCAGGTATGCAGATCCAAAAACAGCCATTCGAATTTTTCTTTGCTATATTCCATTAAGGGCTTAAATTCTTCTTCCTTAGCAAGAATGAAAAGGAAGAAAAATTGGTGGAGAAAAGAGAAAAATTAGCAGGATTAGCTCTGATTTAGGAACAGGGTTTACTTAACTATTAGTCCCCATGAGGAAAAGATAAAAGAACGACCAGTACTTTACCCAATTAATGAATCAGCTCCTTTTGAGGGTCAGAATGCAAGAAATAGAACGATTAGTTGAAGGTTAACATTAAGCAATCTTAATGTGTGGCATAAATGCAGCCAGTAGATGTTTTGCCGCCTTTATTAGTTTTGGTATCTTCTGCACACAAAGCATCATGAATTGATGTGGTCCGTTATGACGATGATGATGCTGAGGTAACAAAGACTCGGCTTACTGGAGTGGCCGTTATGAAGGCAGCTGCGTGAAGTAGGTTTCGGGCTTTGTACCTGTTAAGTTGCTTTAGGAAAGAAGATTAGGCACCATTGTGGAAGGAAGCCAAACAGGTAGCATATAAAATGATTTCTATATAAAATGAAATCTGTAGATGCCAGATAGATAGTTAGATAGCTGACAGATAGCCAGATAGCTAAATAGATGGATAGATAGATGGATAGATAGCTAGATAGCTAGATAGCTAGCTAGAGATAGATAGATAGATAGATAGATAGATAGATAGATAGATAGATAGATAGATAGATGATAGATAGATAGATAGAAGCAGCTGGATGAATTTACATACTTTGGTAAGAAGTGGAAAATGGAGGAATTTTAAGATATATAAATTCTAATAGGAAGAGGGTACGTGGCCTGTAATATTGATCTGTTGCAAAGATCTAATGTTTCTTAAAATTATGAAAAATGCTGCCTGTGGGAGCTTTGTCATTGACGGAGAAAGTTGAGAATGTCAGCAGAAACAACATTTGCGTGGAGGAGGCAGTGGGGAAGGTGCGCTTCAGAGGTGCGTATAGTAAAAAGAGAAGGGGAGAAACATCAACAGGTGATGAATGTGGATCGAATGGAGGATTCGTGTGTACGGAAGTATTTGGGTCATAGAGAGAGACTGAATGACCCAACTACTAAAAGAAGAAAGGACGAATTGGTTCAGTGGACTTGATAAAATATGTACAAGAAGAAGCGGTAAAAATAATAAATGGTAGAATATGACTGGTTTGTTAAAACAGAAAGATGTGGAGTGGGGTAGTTAATATAAACTGTATTTGGTTAGATTACCTTTTGCCTTTCTTTTGCTTATCTTCGTGTAATATCACTCATTCTGAAAGGAAAGAGCATGGTGGGTGCATGTACATGCATGTTTTATTGCTTGTACTAATTGTATTTGATCACCCTGAGATCTATTGATCTGAAGAATGAACTTTGAAATAAATGCCTATAACCTTCATGGATATCTGGCCATTAAGAGCCTTTTCCTTCACGAAACTATCTAATCCCCCCTTTGATGCCCTTGAACGGCTGTGCCGGGACTGCAGCTCCTGAGCTCATTTGTTGAGTTGCCAAGATCCCACGGCGATGGCACGGCCACGGGGGAGAGGGAAGAGGGCAGGCGGGGAGGCCCCGCCCACAGCAGCCGCCCAAGAGAGGGAGGGAAGCTTCCTGGCATCCCTCCGGCCCCTCCGGTCCATCAGGCTAGGAGCCTCCTTGCTGGCAGAGGGGCCAAGAGGGTGGGGCTGGCTGGCTGGCTCGGCCCGGCTGTCCTTCAACTGGGGGAACCGCTTCACAGGTGGCCTGGAGCAGAGGCCCCTGCTGCGCTTCCGGAAGGCTCTCCGGCGGCCGTTCAGGTGTCCCTAGCCGGCCTTCAGCAGTGGCCAGAGAGGATTTCCTTGGACTTTCTACACCGACCCGTCAGTGCCGAGGTTGCCCCTCACTGGATGAAGGATGGGGCCAGAACTAAGGAGGGGGTGGGTGGGTGGGTGTCCTTGTGCATCAGGGAGGAGTTCTTGACTTCATCCACCTGACTTCCACGGCTGCTCCGCTCCCTTTCACCTGACTCTGGGGGGGCTTTCAGTTGCATTTGGGCTTCTCAGCAGGGCACCTGGAAGCCCCCGGGATCTTGCAGACCCTTTCGTGGCTCTTCTCAGACCTCTTGGCTTTCTTTAGAAGTGTTTGTACACGATTGAAACACGGGGTGCTCGCTTGCCCTACAGCAGAGGGCCCTGCATGATCTTGGCCACCTTGAAATGAGCCCCAGAGAGAAAAAATGGCCGCTGGCAGAGGGTCCACTCCCAGACAGGGCCCCGTGAAGCTCCCCAGCCTTTCTTTCCTCGAGCCGCCCCCAGCCCCTTCTCCAGCAGTGCGAACGGTTTTGGCTTCTGGGATCAGAATATTTTCACCCCTCTCTTCCAAGGGACCCTCCAGAGTGCAAATGGGGCCAAGGTCCCCCTCCAGGGAGGATTTCTTTTCCCTGGGCATCTGCTTAGTCGGCCTCTGTTTTCCTGCCCTTTGACTTCACTGGCTGCCCCAAGGGTTTCCGAAGGCCTGGGGGGGAACGGAGGAAACAGGCGCCATTTGTTGTATCTTGACCACCTGGTTCCATCTTCCAAAGTTGCCCAGCGTGGCTGCCCTTCTCGGCCTCTTCCCTTTCTGAGATGTAGAGACCAAAGGTGAGCGGGAATGGCGACCGTAGCCACCACCCAGCCAGAAGCAGGCAGGCAGCAATCCCCATGTAATCCTGTTCCTCGCCCTTGACTGACGTGACTAGAGAAACCAGCTAAAGTCCTGGAGCAGCTTCGTCATTCTGCTATTCCCTTTTCCTTTTGAACTGTGTGGCTCTAACATTCCCCAGGACCAGTTTGGTTGCGAGGCTCAAGTTCTGGTGCCCTGATACTGCAGGGCAATCCTCCTTCTCTGCCTCTGGAGCTTTTATTTCAGGCCCTTTGGGCGTTGTGTCGCCTTCCTGCCAGGGCCTCCCCGAAGGAGGAGACGGTGCCTAGGGCTGCCTTCTGCCCCTTCCCAAGTGGCTCTCCTCTTGCTCAGCCCCCCCGGGGAGCAGGTGGGGAGGGGTCCTGCAGGCCCAAGGCTGCCCTGGGACTCGCTGCCACTCCCCTCTGGTGTGTGTGTGTGTGTGTGTGTGTCGTGCTCATTGCTTGCTTTGCTCCCCAGCCTCTGTACGGACACACGCAGCCGGTGACCTGCCTGGCCGCTTCTACGGCTTACAGCCTCCTGGTGAGTGGCTCTGCGGACGGATCCTGCCTCTTCTGGGACCTGAACCGGTTGACGTGCCTCACCCGGCTTCCTGCGCAGGAGGCAGGCCTCTCAGCGGTTGCCATCAATGATTCAACGGTGAGGCCTTCATTTATCATCCTTCTTCTGACAAATCCATGAACATTTCATGATGACTTAATGGGTGCGCTTCTCCGTGAGAAACCATCCCGAGGCGCGACAGATTGATTTTTTTCTTTTTACAGAGGTTTTTAATAGGATCCTGAATGTTGAAAGAGGGCACTAAAAGCAATTTCTGAGTCAGAGGAGGAGGAGGAGGAGGAGGAGGAGGAGGAGGGCTGCTGCTATCTCTGAGAGCTTTCAGCTTCCAAGAGTTTGTGTTCTGGTTGTGTTTGGTTTCATGCAATCCTCCAGATGCCGCTGTTAGATCCCAGTTGGTGAAACAGCAAAAGCTTCTCCCCTCCCCTCCCACCCAACCCCACCCAGGGTTATCTGGCGCTGTCTGCATCATGCAGGTTCATCTTGGGTGACTAAAGTCGTCACCCAGCTTGCTAGTTTCTGGAAAGCAGCAGACGCCCCGCGGAGAAATGTGTAAGTTGAGGCAGGGAAACATACTTGCAGGGAAATGATGAGGGTGGACGAAAGAGCAGGTGAAGATCAAGGCAGAAGAAGAGGAGGAGACTTTGGATGAGCAGAAAGGGGAGGAACTGGGCCACTTTTCCTTCCTTCCATCCATCCGCCCATCCACTGGACCTCTCACTCCCTATCAACAATGGCTGGGACCGACCGTGGAGAAAGGAGCCAAGCCAGCCCAAACTCTGCTGCCCAGACCCAGCTCCCATCCCCACAGCCTGCCCCAAAGAACCTCCTACTCAACGGCATCGAAGGCCGCTAAGAGGCCCAGGACAGTGAGGGTGGATGCGCTGCCCCCCCCATCCTGCTCTTGCCAGGTGCCACCAGGGCTGTTTCTCTGCCATCCATGGGCCCAAATCGGTAGGCGAGACTGGGCAGACCTTGTCCAATCGCTCCATTCCTTTTGAGTTTTCCTCGGGTGCCCCTCCCTCCTCCGCGTCCCCTGCCTGGGCTCTTCCTGCCTGGGTCCATGCTGGTGGTCTGACTCCACTTGCGTGACAGAAAGGCCTGAACTGGGCTTGGGATGGTTTTGCAGGGCGAGGTGGCTTCGTGCGCTGGAGCGACCCTGGGCCTCTGGACGGTCAACGGGCAGCCCCTGGCCAAAGCAAAGGCCCCCCTAAGACCCGGAGGAAGGCTCTCCTGCTGCTGCTTCTTTGACGTGAAGGACTGGGACGCGCAGAGCCTCATTGTCACGGGGGATACGGACGGCTGCGTGCAGGTAGGACCCTCCAAGAGGGACAACCCACCCACCCTCTCCAGGAACTCCCTGTTCTGTCCCAGGAGTGGAGATTAGTCCGCCTGTGGGGCCACAGCAGGGGCTGGTGCTCAGAAGGTTTTGACACGGAGGTGCCCGCCTTCTTCCCTGGTGCTCTTCTCTTCTTTAGGCAGGCAGGCAGGCGGGCGGGTGGGCAGGCGGGTGGGTGGTCCCGAGCACTGTACTGGAACGGGTGGGCAGGCGGGTGGGCCCTCCCGAGCACTGTACTGGAATGGTACCTGGTGGGTGTTCAGAAGCAAAGGCCGGACTGGAGACGCTGACTCCAAGGGGAAATAGTTGGCGAAGAATGGATGAAACGGCCTCCCCCGTCACGTCCCACCTCTTCTCCCCAGTGGGGGAGTAGCACTGGCAACAGCCCTTAGCCTTACATACCGCCTCCCAGTGCTTTTACAGCCCCCTCCAAGCAGTCTACAGACTCAGCCTCTTGGCCCCAACACTCTGGGTCCTCATTTGACCCACCTCGGAAGGGCGGAAGGCTGAGTCGACCTTGAGCCTGGTGGGATTTGGTCTGTCAAATTGCAGGCAGCCGGTAGGCAGCAGAAGTGGCCTGCAGTGCTACACTCTAACCCCTGTGCCACCCAGGCTCAAGGTGGGGAAAGTGGTCCCAGCCACCCACCGCTGTGTTTGTCAGGGGAGCCCATCGCCTAGGTCCAATAGTTTTTCGGGGGGGGGGGGGCTCGTTCTCTCATTGCCAGAGGGGGGGGGGCTCTCTATAGAGCCTGGGACTGAAAAGGCCGTTGAGGGGTCCCCTCCAGCGTTTAGTAAAACCACTCGCCAGAGTACAATATTTTACACTTGAAACTCCAGCCAACGGGGTGTTTTCAGCCTGCTTTGCATTTCCTTCTACTAACTCACTGAATTCGTTTAAACCCCAGAAGGCATTTGAAGGGTTGGGCTGATCAGGAAGGAGATTTTAAAGACAGGAGGCAGAGGCCCCTGACTGACCCCCCCCCCTTTCCACCTCCGGCTGGGGTCCAGGGGGCCTGGCTGAGGTCCGGTGGGGGGGGGTTCCTTTTGCTGAACTGTGACTTTAAAATACACGCCGGAAGGCAGCGAGGGGGGAATCTCCCTCCAAGGGGGGGGGGGTTGGAGGTGTGTGAGGACCAGTTGTAAACGTAAATGGCTCTAAGCCGGAGGATTTCCGGGGGGGGGAAGGGACTTAACCCTTCCCCTCCTTCCTCCTCCCTTTCTCCCGCCTGAGGCCAGAAGCCCCGAGGCCTCCTGGCTGAAACAAGCCCCAAACTCTTGTCTGAAAACAAGAGTAATCTCTTGGGGTTTATGGGATCCACTTGGTCGAGTCCCCCCCCCCACTTCCCCCTCCCCTCACGGACCCTTCTGACTGGCTGTCCTGGACGTTCCAGGTCTGGAAGCCTGAAGCCGCCTCGCCTGGGAGCCCCGGAGAGCAGCCGCCGGGAGAGGCCGAGGCTGGGAAGCGGCTGGGCCAGCAGGAAGGTAAGAAGCGCACCAACCAGGCTTGGGAAGCATAGGAGGAGAGGGCTGCCGGCCTTCAAGCGGCCAGCAGGGGGCTCCCTCTGCAAAGTTTTAGCCCACTCCCTCCTCCGCTGTGGCTGCTGCCAAGAGAAAGTCGCCCAATTGGCTTCCCTCCTGGGATGAAGGCGGCAGCCTTGACCCCCCCCCTCCCCTCCCCCTCAGACGCCCGGCCAAGAGAGCAACAGCTGGCTGGATTTGGGGGTCTGCACATATTCCACCCGCAGCCGTCTGCCTATTTGGGAGAGTTTTGTACACCTACCAGCAGGCCTTTCCCCTCCCTTTGCAAGGCAAATGTACAGGCGACCCCTGCATGAGGCCAATTGGAGATTATTCCTTTTACGGCCCACCTGTGCGATTGCCAAGAGCTGCCACCGACCTGATGACACGCAGCCCTCAATCACGATTCATGGACCGTTCCTCCTCTTCATGTTTACGGCACAAGGCCGGCCCTTGTTTACAAGAGAGCCTCATTTCCTCCGTTGTATGTGACCTCCAGAAGGCCAGCTCGGTTCAGAGGGGGAGCTGCATCGGCTGGGACTCTGCCTTGCATCCCTCTGGAGGCCATCCGTCCTTCCTGGGACGCCAGTCCAAAGATTCCCCCCTCCCCCCCCGGTGCCTCTTTGGATAGCCAGCGGAGCCTCAATCCCAGCAGCCTCCCTTCCCTGAAAACCAACGGGCTCTTGGGGACTTTTCAGCCGCAGCAACAGCCAGAGATTCCTTTGTTTGCTCGGGAACCCTGGAAAGAAGAATTCATCCAAAACAGGAGCCCTGAAAACAAAGCTGAAGTCACTGTGGTTATTTGCACCGCATTCTTGGCATTTGACGACTGATTGGAGGAGGAGGAGATTGAGCCACGTGGGCTTGAGGCCACTTGTTTCAACCAGGCGATGCTGGGCTGCCTTCCACCCCGACAGCCAGGGATTCTGGGAGCTCTGGTGAAGCCCTGGAAGAGGAATTCTGCTGAAGTAGGCAGGCAATTTAGAAAGCAATAACACACGAATCCAATTGAGCCACAATCGATAGAACCACCAGGCTCAGCACAGGCCACTATCCTTGGGCGGGAAACTCAGGTGGGAGCGGCGGCCCTTCTGGTGGTCGGGGACGGAATGGATCCCTTCTCCGGGGAACAAATTCTAAACAGCCGCATCATCCCCCGCGCTCCTTCTCCCCTCTGCCCCCCTTTGACGTTCCCTCTCTCTCCGCCCACAGGCGGCCGACGGGAGGAAGCGGCCTTGGTCCTCCGGCGGGAGCTGCTGCTTCGCCCGAGCCCCCCCGAGGGAGCCCCCCGGCCCGCCTCGCCCATCACAGCTCTGGCAGCTTCCAGGTAAGCCTTCCGACTGCACTACCTACTAAGCTCGCTAGGGGGCGCGCGAGCTACACCCTCCGCAACTCCGCCGGCTCGGAAGCTGCGCCTCTTCCCCATAGTCTCCCCGTGCAGTTTTTGTTAATAACTTAAGAAAGGACACAGGATGGGCAGCCCCCCCCCGCCCTCAGGGTCCTGCCTCTTGCAGCAAGAAGACCCCACCCTGACTGGGATGCCTTCAAACTTTGGTGACATTTGAGCTGAAAAGCAAAGGGAGGGTTTTAGCAGCAGTAGAAAAAAGAGGGTTGAACTTTCCAATGCAGTCAGTCGGCAGGCAAGCCCACCTCCCACATTTCATTCATTTGCTCAGTCAATGTATCTGGCCACCCATCTCACCAAAAGTGTCCCAGCGGTCGAGGGCATCTGAGCCTCAATCTGCTGAGAGGGCCTGGCAGGGCACTCTTTGCCCAAATCTTTCTTCTTTTTTGGGGGGGGGGGGTGTTGCCCAAATCTCTCCTGTGAGTGGCCTTCTCAAAAGAAGGGCAGAGATTGGGAGCGGGGGCAGAGGAGGGAAACCAGGGTCCTTCCGTCTTCCCAGCAGCCTTAGGATTAACGGACAGGGGATCCCCAGGGATCTGGAGGGGACTGAGAAATCTGCTTCGGAAGCAGTGATCTCTGCAACGTTAAGGAAAACCATGTTTAGCTAGAGATATTGTGAGTTTGGTTTTTTATTTTAATTTTATGTGTCTGCTTAAGCCTAACATTTTGTCGGTATTTATTTTCTCTGTTTATAATTTTTCATTGTCTTTTCCCAATCTAGCCTGTAACCAGATTTATGCTGGTTAACCATGCAAGTGCTAAACAGACCCGGCCTTATTTAACTTTTCCAAAATCATTCAGATCTCCAAAGTAATGCGTAAAGTATTAGTTGACCCGAAGGGAACCACTTTAGAACACAACCACATCCTATTCTACAGTTTCCATTCAAATTATTTGAACCTCCTAGTTTCTCCTTAGAAAGACGTGTAAGTAAACTATTGTCATAAAACAAAACGAAAGGCAAACTGGTGCCTTGGACGTCCTTGATCATCAGGGTGAAAAAGGCTAAATATCTTTCAGTCTTTGAAAGAAACACAAATGATGTGTGATATTTTGAGGCCCCATAAAAACACCAGCATACAAACACAATACTCTCACCTGAAGTTGGGAGTCCCCCATCTCTACAAAAAGGATACCACCTCTCAGCTGCATCTCTGATTAGCCAAATAAGCGTTTCCCAGCCGGACTGGATGAGAGTCAGGATATAAAATAAGTATGGAAGAAGAGAGGGTCACCTTGAGGAGGGGAGAGATTACAATCTAAAGGTTATTTCTCTTAGTATTTCCTCCAAAGCTGTTCAAGGGATTTTCAGGCATGGATCTGACTTTAAAATGCCATGGATAGCGTCCGTCCCCCCCCACCGTTAATAATTATTTTGGGCAGAAGAAGCATTGGGTGTGATTGCAGTGCTCTCAACCCCATATTACTCCTCCCTTCTGTCTCTAGGAATTATTCCAAGCTTCTGGCTGGCAATGAAGAGGGGAAGGTCTGCTCTTGGTCAATTGAGGAGTAGAAGGAAGAAGTACGATGTAAAGGTAAACCTCAGCAAAATCTCCTCCCGGGCAAAGGGGATGGGAGGGGTCCGTCTCGCCTTAGTTGTGGGGACCTGAAATGATTAACTGAGGTGGGGCAGATGGGAGAAATTTTCAGGCATATTTGGCCCCAAAGTCTCTCCTCCGTTGCATTGCAAGGCCGAGATAGCAAATTCCCACGGGCTGTTTAGGAAGCGCCCAGAGAGGGATCTGTGGGGAGATGAGGAAGAGGCAGCTAAGACGAAAATTCTACCTTGGGAAGCCTCATTCTGCCATCACCAGCACCAAGGAACAAATTAATATATGAAAATGTTTAGCACACCTTCAACTGGTGTTACCTAAATATTATCGAATAATGCGTTCTGTATTATTAATATTTTGGCTTTCCTGAAACTTTAGCAATGGAGGATTAAGTTTCACAGGATTCATCCCAATATCTGAATTTCTGGCAGTTTCTTTTGTCCCTCCCACTTTTTTTTCTTAAATGCCACTAACGGACCAATGGTGACCATCAGTGGTTGTCCATCAGCCGGTCTGAGTTGATTCGCTTCTCCTGGACCAGAAGCAGAATCCGAACCGAATGGTGCCAGGATTGCTCCGGGGAAAGAGGGGAACCCACCCTCGGGGGCTCTGGGGTCACTCGGGGTACTTTGGTCCTGGCGTTTCCATTTCTCTGCCAGCCAAAGCCAGTTCAGCCCCCAGGGACAGCTGGGCTCGGTGCGGGGCGTTTTCTGGGGACGTTCTGGGCAGAGGCTGTGGGGGCTGCGCTTTTTGCTAAGGAAAATGAACTTCACTCTCAGGGTCGGATCTGAGCTGCCGGTAGATGAATAAATGACCTTGTCAGCAAAGGAGGTTGGGCGAGAACGAACCCTTCCCGTATTCCTCCGCGTGGAAAATCAAAGGTGGCTCCTTCTGCACAGGCACCTCAGAGGCAGAGAGAAGAAACCAGGCCGTGGCCCCCGCCTGAATCGGCCGCCCGATAGGCATCAACAGAGGGTTTCCCGTCTTGTTTTAGTCTCTGGCACTAGTCCAGATTTCGGCCGTGGCCGTGAGACTTCTTCTCCCTCTCGGCAGTCATCCTGCAGACGGGGGTCTGGCTTGACCCTCAGCCTCCCAGCAAGGCTTCTGCATCACCAGAGGTCACCAGAGGCCGCGTCCCCCCTTTCTCCTGGCTCCCCGGCTGCCTTCTTGCATTAGCTCAGTTCTGCCACTGGCCCAAGGCCAGGCCTTCTCGAGGGATCTCCCTGGAGCCCTGCTGAGACAGCCGTGTCCCTGGGGTCCCCCTCAACTCCACCTCCCCGTGGAGAAGGAGGAGGAGGCCCACAGCTGCCCATTGGTCCCTGCTTTTCCTGGCTTTCCTTCTTCTGGATGGCGGCAAGGGCTGAACAGCCGGCCAGCCACCGGTGCCTGCATCCTTCAACCACTGCAGGAGGGCCCTTTAGCATCTCCGACTGGAGCTCTCAGTCACGTGGTGGTGGTGGTGGTGGTGGCGGCGGCCTGAGTAGAATACAGAGTGGCTACTTTGCGCCTCCTCCTGTACAAACCCCTCTGCGTGTCATGGCCTGAGCTGTGATAAGTGGGAGTCAGGCTGGTGGAAATCTACCGGAGCTGCCTAATTGTCCCAAACACAACGGTTCACTAGAGTGGAAAATAGTTTCCATCTATCTAAGTGAAGAAGATAATGACCTTTTAAATAACAGGAGCAATTTTATCTCAATACCGCAATTACTGTGAACTCTCGAAATGCCAAAGTGCTGGGCACTTTCAAAATAACTTAATTTAGACATTTATAGCTCTTAGACACTGCTAGTTTCTTATCTAACCTAATTACGGGTTGTTCAGGAAATGGCAGAGCATGCCAATTAATGTTATTTTTTATAGAGATAGATAGAAGGGCCTTTGGCTCCCTCCTTCCTCGGGCCTCCTGCCGTCCTCCTCTGCCAGCTGTTTTTCCAGCCCCTCCCCTAAGGGGGCAGCCAAGCTGATTAAAAGACACGCACAGATCCCCCCCAAACAGGCCTTGGTGTCTGCGAGAAGACAGACGTCTTCTGCCCATTGGTCCTCTTGGCAACCAGATTCTCTGCCAAATGGTGGAGCACCAGGGGCAGGAGCCGACCACGGCCACATCCTATCGGTGAACTAGGCTCTAAAAAGGAGAGCGGAGAGGAAGGGGCCACAGCTAGGATAGCAATTTTCCCCATTGCAGTTGAAAGTGAAATGATACGGAGAAACACCCCTCTGGCTCAGGGTGTAAGAAGGGGGCCCACGTCCACCTGTGGGGTGCCTGGTGGGGGAGCGGAACTGGGGCTCTGCTCTTTGCACAGAAAAGGCTGCGTGGGTGTTGTGGGTTCAAGAGGATCCCTTCTGCCTTGGCCAGGAAGACTGGAGCTCCTTACAGCAGCTGGAGAATGCAGAAACGCCCCCCCCCCCCCGGAATTAGGAAACAGGGTCGCCAGACTGGGTGCAACCTTCCTCTCCACTTCCACGCCTGATATTGGGAGTCCTGGTTGCTCAGTCAGCAGCCCAAATCAGCCCTAATTGTTCTGCTGTTGGAGGTGAAATGAGAATCAGAGGAGAAAACGAGGCCTTGGTGCCTGGGGAAGCAACGTTGCCATATTCATCACCATTTTAATTCCCGCTTTCCTTGTCTCCTCAACAGCTGGATCCTCTTGAATCCCAGGTGCTGATGGGAGCAGATTAGAGCTTGCGTGGTGTTAGAGATTGCGTTGACTAACCATCTTCCTGCCTGAGCCGACATGCTGACCTGATGTCAGGCTTCCCGTTCTGGGGAATCTCCCGCTCTGGAGCGGTTCCCTGAATTCATGGCTTCCGTAGCTATGAGCTCAGCTCCAGCCACCTTCGACTCACACGCTGTGCCCTATTCGTACTGATTCGGTCTTTTGCTTTGCCACTCGTGCTGTGTGAATGGGGGGTGCCTTGTTTCACCTGTTTACCCTGGACAACCTCTTTATGGATTGGGTTGAAAGACTTTCTGTGCCTGCCGAACTCCTTACAGGTGTCGTTGGCCCTTCTGAGGATGTGGGGCAGAACGGATTCCTCGTGTTTTTAGCAAATGACAAGAAACGTTTCTTCGAATGCCTCTCGCGTGATTTAAGAAGCCATCCAGCCCATGTTAACAGCTGCCGACTGGTACCTTCCACTATCCTAGGTGTAGAGAAGCCAGTGAAGATGGTGGTGCAGCAACACAACAAGTAACATTCGGATAAAATTGATTGTCTCCAATCTTTCTGCTAATTTTGCCCAGACACGGCTTTGACCCCACGATGAATGGCCTTTCCCTGGGAGGAGAGAGCAGAGGTGAGATTTCTGGCCTTCCGATTAGCCTTCCGTGCTTGCTGGAGAAAGGGGCAGCTTAACAGCTCCTCCTCCCTGGGATGGGGCTCCTCTTAGCTGAGGCACAGCCTTAGGCCTCCCTCTGGTTTAACCTCCGTGGGACCTTCTGCTGGGGAGGCAACCTACACGGAGCGGGTTGCCTCCGTCCAGAGGTGATCCCGGAGGCCTTTCCTGTGAGCCCGGGATTTGGTGCCCCCAAAGCCTCGAGGCATCTTCAAGCGGCTCGGCTGGGGCCGCCCGTCGGAGGAGGATCCGGCAACTCAGCTCCCCCTCAGTCCGTGAAGACTCAGGCGCTTCGGAATGGATTTTACTGGCCAAATGTTACATAAAATGCAACGGCCTCCTGAATGCTGAGAAGTCCTCTTCCTCCCCACCTCCCCTTCTCCCTCGGGCTGGCCTTCCACACGCACAAAAATACCCGGCCTTTTCTCCATTATTTTTATAGCTGTTTTTATCCCTAATAAATGGTTAGGATCAACAATCTGGGAGGACTGGTCCAGTTTATTACTAGGTTTCTTGCCGAATCCTATCCTTGCTCTTGCGGTACGGACGATTATACTACGAATAGTATAATTGTACGTATTTCGAATGTGTATAATTCACCCTTTAGATATATAATGTAGGAAAACTATATCAAGATCAATACCTAAAATATAAACTCCACATTTAACTGGGCGAATTCGGAATCTCATGTTTCATAAGATACTAGCTTGCTGTAAGTTAACAGAGGCGACCCTAAGGAGGCTATTATTACAGTTATCTAATAAATGAATAAAATACTCTTACATCGACCTCAAAAGGGCTCCCACGCCTCATGAACCTATTAAGACAGTTTCACAACAGAGCAGGTTTTATGCCAGGAATCCTCCTCTCCCCCACAGTGCGCACGGACGCACACGCACACACACACGCACACGTAACAGCTCCTACTGATGTGACTGAGAATGTTTGCAGATGGTGGTGAAATTTAATGTGGAAGAAGAGGCCACACTTAGCAGCAAGAGGTGTCCAAGGCTGAACTCTCTAAATGGGGGGGGGGGGACACAACATTGACAATAAGGGCCTGGCTGGGAGCGGCCGAATGGAGCTGCCCATCTCAGCACTCCTCCTCCTCCTCCTCCGCTCTTTCCCAATGGCAGAAACCGCACAACTCAGCAACTTCACCGGTGGCTGCCCCAGAGGAGCCTCTCCCCGCCGCTCATCCGAATCTATTTAAGGCTATTTAACAATACAGCTGTCCAGCCTTCTTGCTGGGACGTGGGGGGTCAGAATGCCTGGAGGGTCAGGAATTCCTCTGGCCGGAGCCAGGAGAGCTGGTCCCACTTAGTGACAGAGCCAGTCGTCCCAGAGCTTGGCCGGAAGTGGGAGAGGGGCCACCTGCCCAGTCTGGGCTTTCATGGAGCCCGGGAACAAGATGGGGGTGGGGGCTCTGAACCGGGGGGGGGGGAGGTAGAGCTGCCCTCATCTGACACCTGACTTGGCCCTTGTCCCCCTCCTCAGCTAAGGAGCCTCCACTGCCCTCCCCAAGTCAAAGCACGGCTCCCCTCCCTGGGGCCCTGATGGGGCCCTCCTGGCCGACAGCCCAGAAGGGCCGGGCTGAAGTCAGGCACGAGATTGGTTGAATCCTCCGTTTCTGTTCCCTCACACTTCAGCGTGTGATTGGCTGATGGGAAAAACATCCACCAATGGGTGGCTGAAGTCTGCTGATGACAAAACAATTTGACCCCACCACCACCCCGTCCAAACCTTTCTTGTGTCCCCCCCACCTTCCTTGATGGAGGAAGGGGCCTGGTGCGAGGCAAAGGCAGAGTCTGGGCTGCCAGAGCATTTCCCCAAAGGACAAAATGTCCCTTTCCAACAAGGCCAAGTTGCGATGCTCAAAGAAACCTGGGCAATGTAGCTTTTCTATGCAAGAGTCCTAGCATTAGTGGAAATAACCATTTTGCCTTATTCCGTTATCTTTCTGAACTCTGATATATTATCAAATTGTTGAGTTGATTATGCTGTCTTCTGCTGGGCAATGACCACACTGAAGATTTGATTGCTGGAGGGCCCAATTATCCTACACATAAACCAACACACAGACACACACACAGCAACAGTGTTTTGTCTTCCTGCAGCTCCACCTAATCCTAGCCCATCATCACCCATAAGTTATCTCCCCCCACTTTTCCTAGGGCAGAATGCATTTCAAAGCAAAATCTGGGCCATAGCCTCTTGCCCTGGTTCTTTGCAAAGAATCTGCCTGAAGACAGCAAGGAAAGAAAATATTGTTAATTGAATTGTTGAAGTTGGATCATTGTTTTCTGACCCTTACAATTAGTAAATAGAGTACACTGGCATCAGGTGCACCACACCAATAGTTGGGTCCTCCTCAACTTACAAAAAAAACCTTCCTAAAAGTGACGGAAAATCTAAGGGTTGTGGACATGTAGGTAACACTTGTAAACAGCGATTTGCAAGCTGAAACTTGAGCAAGAGGAAGTGGCATCTGGGAGGATGGGGCCCGCGATTTGGGCAAGGTCTGCAAGAGTTAGGCTTTCCCAATATAAAATTAAATATTCTGTTAGGTCATAGAGTTCATCCAGCAAGCTTGATGTTAAATCTGCAAAACATGTAATTATACTACTGAAAATTTTGTGAACCAAAGAAACTTCTCTGAAAGCATTCCTAAATTACTCTGAGACCAGCTTTTAATTCTTTGCTTGGATGGGTCCAGCTTAGAGACTGGACCCATGTAAGCTGCTGGCCTTTTAAATGTCACTAATATCAGAGATCATATGTTCTTTTTCTACATCTTTTCCTGTATTTGTTATTTTCTGTTTTAAGTAACAAACGTGATTACTACTTTCATACTTGTTGGGATTAGGCAAAATAATGACTATCTTGGAAGGATAAATGTACACAGCAATAGGATGGATGAACTCAAGTTGCTTTAGAAGACGGGAAGGAAAGAAGGAAGATGTGCCAACCATCCGTTCATCCATGATTTGCAAGATTGAATTTCATGTGTAATGTGTGCACAATATACATGCCAATAGTGGAATTATATATTTTGACAGGAAGGGAAAGAACATCCTTTTGTGGAATTAAACTTTCTGTGATACATACTTACAGGTTCCCCATTTTTATAATTTGGGTTCTGCATGGATTGTTAATAAGTTAACTTTTAGGGCACTTCTAGACAGCCAGGGTTTCCCCTCTACACCTCCACCCCGCTGATTCCACTTTGAAATCTGTCTGACATTGATCAGATAAAGTGCTCCTGACATTGATCTCTGCTGATTGACCATTTCCAACAGCAGGATGTGACCCCCACGGGCATCTTCGCATGTTGGGAGTCGACAGAGAACCAGGACAGAGACATTTGCATGTTCGTTCTTTTGCCAATAGCTGAGCACGCAGTTGTGTCATACAAGTCAGCTTTGTGTCTTTCTTGTCTTTTCAAACTCATCTCCAACATGCCTCATTTCCCCCTCCTGACAAATGTTCACAAATAAATTCACTTGAACAATTCTGCTGCTTCTTTTTAAGTTGACATCTTGTCCTTTTTGAGCAGAAAAACTTCTATTTTCCTTTTAATTTGAATAGAGTGCAACTAAAGGAGGCCGTTCTGTATTCCTAGCATTCCTTCGGCTCCTTCAGTTTCTGCTTAGCTTCATCAGCTCCAAAGAGTTTCCCTTTCACCACGTTACTCCTGTTGCCTTGTTTGGTTTTCCCTGCTGGGTCTGCAATTTAACATTTGTTTTCCTGGACCTCCCCCACCCTCTTTCAGGTCCTTGTCCCCTGGCTTCTTCTGACATGGAATTTGACTTCAATGTCCATTTCTTTGAAGTCCAAGAAAACCAAAGTCCAGCGCTGGGTCATCACTTCCCCCCCCCCTTTGCTCCATGAAGCCGGTTGAGTTTTCCAAACAAATCACTGTGCAAGGCTGGAAGAATAAATATGGGCAGAATCTGACCTGAAAAATGGACTGTTGTTAAGAGCCGTTAGCCGACATTTGCTCTGCTTTCAACAAAGGGGAAAGGAGAAGACTTTGGAATTATTTAGTTGAATTTCTGGTCGTTGTTTTATTTGTGATACTTCCCAGCATATTTTTTCTCTCTTTCTCCTTTCAGTTAGTTTGATATAGTCATTATTATCATAAAAGTTCTTAAGGTTGTGTTGAACCATACATGAAATATTTGGAAATGTGGGTCTATCGTGCAGGGTCCGTTGTTTAAAAACTGATTCTGTCAACCCTACTTTAACATCCCATTGAAAATACACCTTCGCTTCCCATGTAGAAGAAGCCTGTTTAGATCAACGCAGAGAGAAAATGGGCTCTTCTCTTTTTGACAACCAAAGCAATTGTGTGGTGTGTTTTTTTTCAAAGTCCCGTGGGCTGCAGAGTGCCAAAGGCACTGACAGAAGAGGCTGATGGAGAGTGAAGGCCAATTTTGGAAGCCCTGGGAAGCCAGCTAGGATGTTCCTGGCCAGCTGCTAGGAGACTCTGTCCAAAGGCCGAAGAAAACCAGGAGGGGCCCTGACACCCGTGCCGAGGCCTCTGCCGGTGACCCTGGCAAAGAGCCCCCAAGAGGGGATCAGAAAGTTGGCGGGAAAGGAGGGCTGCTTTTATCGGGATGTGAGCAGGACCACGGATGGCAGCGGGGGGAGGAGAGCCCCCATTTATATGCACAGATGACAGAATCCCTGAGTTGGAAGGTCCCCAAGTGCGGCTGCCTGCGTACTGCAGGACTCTGCTACAATTTTATGCTATAAAGCTAAGAAATCAGCCTTTTCTAATGGAAACATTTATTTGTTCAAAAATACATCTTCATGGTCTTAATAACATGGAAAAGGAACCAATGTACATTTCTTCCATGCATAGAGTTTTTTTAAAAAATCCTGGGTCTGTAAAATTGCCCTGTTTTGTCGTCACATTCATCTTCCACTTAGAGCTGTTTCCCAGCCAATAAAATATTCCATATTCCCACGATGGAAGTTCCGATGGAAAGGCACAGTTTAACCTCCCAGTTTTCTATTAATTCTTATTCCTCCAGTTTTTCAAAAGGTTTATTATGCTAATCATCCAAAGGAAAGATGTGGTGTTTTTTCCTGTTGGTTCCTGAGAATGTTTTTATTCACCTAAAAAGATTCCCCTGAAATCTTTCAAAACAAGCCGTTTCCGCAGCCTTCGGAGTTCCAGTTCCCACCCGCCATCCCCACAGGCCCCCTCCCGGCTGCATCATTTACACGTCGTCGTCGTTATCCTGGAAGAGGATCTGGGCGTAGACGGTGGTGGTGGGCGCAGCGCCTTTGGCCTCCTGGTGAGGCTTCAGCAGCTCCAGCTCAGCGTAGGTCAGGTTCTCCTCTCGGCCCTTCAGCTGCAAAAGAAAAGGGCCGCCTGAATCCACCGTCCGAGGAGGGGCCGGCTGCCCTTCAACGTGGCCCAGGGGGGCAAGAAGGAAACAAGGCCAGACCAGAAGAAGAACATAAGCCCAAAATGCCCCCCACCCACCCACCGAACGGGCTTTCTCCACCACAAGTGGAACCAGCTACTAAAACACGGGAATGGAAGGCTGGGTGTGTGTAGGGGAGGGGAGGGTTTCCCCCTTTGCTCCTGGGAGTCTCTCCTTGCAGTCCGAAGCGCTTGGCGCAGGGGGGGCACCGGCTGCCTCTATGGGAAAGAGGCCCCGAGTGGAAGAAACGGCCCCAGAAGGCGCCCAGGCAGCCTCTGAAGTCCAGCTCTGGGGCCTGGAGCCGATTAGCCAATTTAGCCCTTCGCCCTGGGAGGCATTTCTGCTTCCCATCAAATAAAGCCGGCCTTTAGTTATAATTCTCATTCAAATTCCGGCCGAACCGTGATGGATTCTGAAATGGCTCTGCGACACCCAGCTCATGTAAATTTTAGAGCTAAGATTTATGAAATTACATCGTCCAGGTGTATTATTATGTTATCTGGAAATTGCATTGTTTTCTTGGGTAGATTATATCTTTATTCCTCCTTTATTCTATTAAGTTTGGATATGAAAAATAACCCTCGATTCCTCCAATACGGGTCACTGGGCAGCCCTGGCTGATGTGTTACTTTCATACATTTTTATGATGTTCCTATAGTAAACATAATTTAATAAAGCCAAAACACACTAAATAAATAATTGCATCTAGAAAAGCAATAAAAGCAAATAAAATTAGTACTTTCATAAGTGGAAAAGGTACTTCAATTACTGCTACAAGCAACGGCACACCATAAAATGTGTAGAATAATTTCCCTTATGCATATTTCCAGTATGTAATAATTTGATTGAAAATATGAAGAAAGACACAGGAGGTTCAGAATCGTTGTGCACATACAGTTCTCAACTACGTATAATAACCGAACGTAGAAGATACGGGATTTTCCAAAGGCCGTTAACCAAGGAGAAATCTCAGGCTGGGCCCCGTCCCGCTTCCTGGGCTACCATGGACAAGTTGAAACAGCTTAAAAAGGAGCTCCGCATATCAACCGTAAGGAAATCCTACATGCCTCCTGCCTGCTCCTAAGCCCGCCACACTGAACGTCTCCAGTTGCAAGGCATTCCGCCCATTCAGCTAAAACAAAATAGTTTTGGCCCAAGATAATATTGCTGACTTAACTCAAGGCACTGGGGGAGTGAAGAATTTAAGAAGAAAAGTCTTAAAATAAGACAGCAATACAGTAAAAAGTAAACATTACGGACACCGCTGTCAAATAGCGCCATGATTGACAACCGATGCTGTCGCTGTGCTTGCTTCCCCCCCCCCGGCATTACAAAGCACATCTGCAGCTGGAAAGACCCCCATCTAGGGATGCAAAGAAGAACAGCTGAACTCATATCTCCAGCCCTTCCTCTTCCTCTCATTACACTTCGCACTAGCAACAGCCACCAAGACCTTTTGGTATTTTGCAGTAGGATTATTAATGAAAACCTGCATATTAAAGTATGGACAGGAATGAAAAGGGAGAGACAGAAGGGAAGCTAAGAGGTATCATCGCTCCCCCAGGCGGCCTCTGGGCTTCGGGCACCAGGAGCCGCTCCTGCCGCTTCCAAGGCAGGTCAGCACCCGGAAGGACGAGTTTTAGGCCACTGGGTGAGGCCACGAAGGCCCCGTAACCCACCGAATGGAGTTCTCACGAGGGCCTCTCGGGAAGTTCATGCTTCTTCCTGGAGGAACCATTGTGGGCCAAGAGTTCAATCCTTTCTTTCCACAATAGGCCCAAATGTGATTTAATAGAATTGAAAGAGAAGGATCTCTATCGGTTGGACTTTCTTTCTTTCTTTCTTTCTTTTTTTCCCCCTTTTATCTCTCTCTTTTTTCTTTCTCCCTTTATCTTTTTCTTTCCCTTTCTTTTTCTTTCTTTCTTTTTCTCCTTCTTTCCTTCCTTCCCTTCCATCTAACCTCTCTATAATTTCATTTTGGAGATGGCTTTTTTACCTTACATTCTGACGGAAAAATACATTTTGAAAGATCCTCATGACTGCAGTCCCCATTCTCTTAAACAATCAAGTGATGACCTCAATTTTGTAATTTCTCAGTGTCTCTAATTGATAATAACAGAAAGTTGGGGGCCGGGCTGCTGCATTTCAGCTGGAATTCAGGGAGAGAAACTGCAACTTTATATTATGCAAAACAAGACTATCCCAAAGAATTCTTGAGAATAAAAGTTCATCTGTGAAGGAGTAACCTTCACTTGTACAATGAAGGGATGGGAGGTCTTGTGCCGATTCTCTCTCCGAGAGTCCCAAGGGGGGGGGGTTCACTTGGGAACCACCCTCTGGAGCTCAACAGGTGGGAGCCATTTTCCCATCTCTCCTCCCGAGAATCTGCTCCTGGAAAACTCACTGCAACAATGGAAAGAAATGGGACCCTTCCTTTCCCATGAGGACACACGCAGCCCCTCTCCAGCTAGAAGAGTGGACAGGACCCGGCCGGGAGACGAGGGAGGCTTCCCAAGGTTTCCCAGGGAAAGGGAGGCAGAAGCTTCGGGGAAGTTCTTAACACCACAAGGAGGGCCCAGGAGGGCCCCCACAGCAGCAGCAGCAGCAGCAGCGGGGGGGGCCGAGTCGTGACCAGGGGCCACGTGTGTACAAGCAATTGCTTTCTGAATGCTCGGAGCAACACTGGTCACAAAAAGTGGAGGACCTTGACATCACCAAAATTATAGAAACCAAGAAAAACAACCTGTAAATAAGAAATTTTAAATATTTAAAACTTATGGTAGCATACGTTTAAAAGGAGCCCGAAGCACAAAAGGAGTCCAATAGGAATCTGTATGTCCCAAGTGGACGGGGGCATCTTGTCTCCTTGGCGAAACCCTCCCAGACGCACCTGTGGCTGGAGAGGAACCCTATCAGGTCAGCCAACAAGGCAGCCTCTAGATCAGAGATCTTAGTTTGCCCTAATGAGGGTGAGCATACTCGGAGTAAAAGGGGCCTTTGGTTGTGGTGAAAGGGCAAAAGGGTCGATTGGTGCAATCTTTCGTGTTGCATGGATACACCGGGACTAAGGAGCTGGTAAACTAGTCTACTCTTCCCTTCTCTTATGGAAAAATCATTTTTCCTGCAGCTCTGAAAAGCGAGGAAGTCTCCTCCACTTGATCCGTTCAGGAGACTAGCTCAGTGGTTGGGATGGCTATTAGATCTCCGATGGCTGCTGAGCTTCTCTGCCTGGGTAAGGAAATACCTAAGGACCGACCTCTGAAAGGATGACCCAGTGGGTGACAGGTTGCCTTCTTTTATTGAAAGAGCCACTCAGGCCCTTTCCATCCACCCAACAGGATGCTATGAAAATGAGACTGAGGTTGATGATGCTGGTATACGAGAAAGCAATAAAATGTGCCCAGTGCATGGCCTTAAACTTTTTAGAAGAAAAATGGATGAACAGGGAGCAATTCAGTTCTGCAGAAGCTTCCGGGGACACCAAGAGAGTCAAAGAAAGGATGCCTGGTATGCAGACACCCCCTCGACCCTCCCGAGAGGAGAGAAAGAAGGAAGGAAAGGGAAAGGAGGGGAAGGGAAGGATAAGGGGGAACCACATTCACACATTAGACAAGCAACAGAAAGTAAGGACAAATCTCTGCAGTGCTACTCACCAAGGTGACCTTCCTGTGTGGTTTCAGGAGTTTAGGCTTTGAGAAGGCCTGGGATGTTGGTGCTGTGAAAATAAGGAGAGACCATTTGCCTCTTGCTGCAATAGGGATACAGGCAAGAGGGAAATGCACAAAAACGGACACCTGCCACTCATTCAGCCCCCTCCCCCTGCAGCTGCCAGAGTGCCCCTCCATGTGCCTTCTGCACCTCCCAAGGAGCCTCTGGATCTCATGGGCTTCCTTGGCAGCCCAGGGCCTCTTTTCTCCAGCCGTGGCTGTGGCTCTGGTGTCTTCTGGGGAAGGTAAACTCAACTGGGCGAAATGGAAGGGCTGCATCCCAAACAGCTGCTGGTCGTCCGTTCAGGGCAATTTGGAAGTCATAGATAAATGAGGAATAAAAGTTCTGGGAGATGGAAAAGAGAACAGGGCAGCCCAGAAGAATTCAGCCCCTTAAACTCCAATGAGAGAATACAACGTAAGCGTTGGAAGGGACCTCGGGAGGCCATCCAGCCCAACCTCCTGCCAAGGCAGGATTCCTCTTTGCCAGCATGCATGGCAAATGCCCAAAGGGCAAGCGCAGGAGGGAGCCTTCCTTTGGGAAACCCCGTCAGTCCCCCCCAGGGCCAAAGTGACCACACGGATACCTTTGGCAGGAACTGCTGGGGGTGCCTCGGCCGCCTTCACCCCTTTCCTCCGGGTGGGGGGGGGCCCTGGAGAGCCGGCTGCCTTGCTGGGACTTCCTGCCTCCTGCAAGCTGGAAGGTGAGAGAGGGAGGGAGGGAGGGAGGGAGGGAGGGGGTGGTGAGTGCCAGGAGGACTGATGATCTTCAGGTTCTCTTTTATTTGCTGCCTTACCAATTCATTTGATCTACTTAATTCATTTATTTATTTATGCCTCCAAGCAAATAAAATGGAGAGCATATGGGGGAGAGTAATCAAAATCGTTATAACTGGGATAAGAAAAACATCGCCTGGAAGAGGATAATCAGCATAAGAATAATCCGCATTCCCTCCAACCCTCTGGAGCCTTTTTCCAGCCTTTCCCCCACAGACAGGAGGAGGCTGGTCCTGCTAGGGATCCACAGAGCACAAGGAGCCTCCTCAACCACCAGGCCTGACCTGAGGGAGGCCAAAGGAGGAATTTCGTCCTCACCAAACGTAATAAAGGAGGGGAAACTGTGCCGTGCGCCCAGGAGAGCCCATTCAGGCCACCGTTGGCACGTCAACAAGGGCAAATGGCAACAACCATGTTCAGTTATGAAGACTCACCCTCCCACTAAGCTTTTGTTTTTTAATGTTGTACGCTGCCTGGAGTAACGGTATCTGAGTTGGGTGGCTATATAAATTTGTTTAATAACAAATGAATAAGAATATTTCAACAACGAGGACATTGAAGAGCCTAAGGAAATGGGTTAAACGGGGACACAGGTGGCCCTTGTTCCACAACAATGGATGGCTGTCATTCCTCCTGCATGGATTTTATGGCATTGATTAAAAGGCACTCAAAATAATTTCCAAGACTTAAAATATATTTTTCTCCAGCTAGGAGGACAACTAAAGTCAATGACATTTTTGTAGGAAAATTAAAGGTGGTAGCTCTCAGAAACAAGCTGCTTCCCTACCTCTTCTGAGGAGATTTCACCAAGCTACGTTTCCCTGTGAAAAGAATACAGAAATAAGAAAAACTGAAATTAAGAAACATGTTGCTGTGTGTAGTAATTTTCACTTGCATGTGATTTCTGGAGGAGTGATGATCACTTTGTTTTCTTTCGTTTGTTTAAAACATGGAAGGACAGCATCTAAATTTTCTATGCAGAACTTAGGAAGCTCTCTGTTTATACACAATTTTGTATATTACAAACAATTTATCAAATTTAGATACCATCCATCTCACTATCTGAGCCACGGTGATGCAGTGGTTAGAGTGCAGTACTGCAGGCTACTTCTGCTGACTGCTGGCTGACTGCAATTTGGCAGTTCAAATCTCAGCCTTCCGAGGTGGGTAAAATGAGGAGCTAGATTGTTGGGGGCAACATGCTGACTCTGTAAACTTCTCGTAGAGGGCTGTAAAAGCACTGTGAAGCGGTTTATAAGTCTAAGTGCTATTGCTAGTGCTAAGTGACTCTGGATAGTTTACAAAGGTCAGTTTGAAATAAGCAAAGTCAAAGATCTCTTGATCATTTAATATTAGATACAATATTTTGAGAGTAATCAAAGAGAAATTTACAGAACATTTAAAGATAGAAATTGAATAAACAAATAAACTAAAATGCAGAACTAGTAAATTCAGTGGCAATAAATTACAGATGAATTACAGAAATCTTTTATCTTGACAATGGACTCACCACTGGCTCGTTTCTTGTTGCTCAAGATCTGGCAGAGGATGACCAGAGTGAAAAGGAGGATACTCAGGATCCCTGCCGAGCACATCAGGACCGCATAGGCAGAGGGGTCTGGAGAGGCCAGGAGAGGAAAGGAGAGTCAGCTGGGAGACCTCCACCCACTGCATCCCAAAGGGTGTGGAGGTTCAGTGGTGGGGCACGTGTCTACTCCCAAGTGCACAGGGCTGTGTCACTCTCGGCCCACCCCAATTTCTGTGGTGGCTTATGCAAAATGTGGAGCCGGTTGACCAATTCAATGGTCTGTATCTTTCCATACATGCATAATCCGTTAATATTTTACATTGCTGATTTTTAACGTGTCCTGATCTTTGATTGCAAAAAAATGTTACTCTATTTATCTGACTTCGTCTGGTTGGTTTCTTTTGTTTACCTGTCAATTCCAGGGAAAAATAATTCTCTGATCCAAATGCTGCAGGTAAATCAGTGTATTAAGCTGAGATCAGAATGAGGAAAGTAGTAATCTCTTGATATAAGCTGCCGTTTTTACAGTTTTGTAATTTATTGGAGGTGAAGATTCTTGTGTCTTTGTGTCTGTATTGTAGCTTTGACCTCTCTCTTCTGAAAGTCCACTTAGTCCATTTAACTTTTTTTAAAAAATCTCTTTATATTTAAACATTTTAAACATGTATTCCCTTACCAATACCTTGTCTTTTTATTTTTAAACTTTTAAAAGTAAATGTGTTTCACTTTATCAGTTGATTTTTTTCATTTTTTCTTGTCTCACAAATATACTGGTTTTGCTTTTTAGACCAGTGTTTTTCAACCACTGTGCCGTGGCACACTAGTGTGCC